ACACTCCATTTAAAATGTTATTTATCATTTTAATTTTTTTAGAAAGTGCAAATTTACAATTTCAATTTGCACTTTAGCAAATTTACAGCCTGTGACCGACATTTTATGTTATTAAAGAGGAATGTTAGATGTCAAAGCAATAGACACTCAAGTTTATCCACAAACATGACAAAGAACCGTAACACTACACTTTTTTGATGTGGAGTTCTTTAGTTCACGGGGTGATCAATTACCTGTATAACTCAAAATATCCTCTATCTATACATGTAATAGAACATAGACTGCCTTTTAACCTCATTATCACTTAGAGATGTGATATTTCTCAGCTGTTGGTGTTTGCTTTTGCATGCCTGTAGTAGACGGATATATTGGTACGGAATTGAACGTGCCATGCTGGATGCATCATGTAGCTCTGAGGTTTACCCAGTTTCTTTCTCCTCAGTCAGGCTTCCATGTTTAGTAGCATTTTTGTTCCACAAAAAAACAACAACTGGTGCTTTAAGTTAAATCTGCTCATTACCTGTTACACCAGTTTATTTGCACTCCAGAGCAGGCCAGGGTTTCTATGTAAATCTAACTTTTTCCCAGTGTGCCATGCAGAAAGGAAGTGGACAAAGAGTGGTGTAAGATTCACTCCAGAGTGTGGTGTGCTCTCTCTCTAGATGCATGTGCTGAAGTGATGTTCTGTTGATTATACCTTGTGGATTACTTGCACCTGTGTGGTATAGTGGAGATTGCACTTGTTTTCATGTAAATCACTTCAAATGACTGGAGGAGTAATTGTGAAATCTTTCTAAGTGATGCAAATGTTTGGACACTTTTTTTGTGAGTTGTGTAGGATTAAATAGAATTTTATATTGTCTTCATCACTTAATTAAGACTAATTTTAAACTGGTTCTGTGAACCAAACGTAGTATGTAGAGATTAATTTAAGTAAAAAAATAAATAAATGATTAATTGCTAAACACATTTTGTCTTTATCTTTTTCAGCTGAATGCATGTTTGTATGTTACAATGTATCAGAGAATTTATGGCGCTGTCTGAGCAAAAAACTCAAAGTATCATTCTGCTCATTTTACTAGTATAATGCAAACTTGACTTTAATCTCAAAGTACAATATTTACAAATACAGTTTAAACAGAATTTATCTTCTTGTTTACAACCTGCACAAAAATATAAACTGAAGTAACAAATGTCAAGCACCCAGTTTTCCATCAAGTCTGTCTTGAGTTCAAACTATTTCCAATTCCAGTTCATGGTCAAACAACTAATACTATTGGCTACAGAGAAGAAGGGTCTTAAATGATTCGAAGGCTTTTAAATATGGAATCAAACTAAAAATGATGTTTGCATTTTCAGCTTGGTCCTAATCACATTAAAATGTTTCAGTCAAAAAGAAAAAAACATTGACTATTAAAATATAAAACATGTTTTAAATAAAACCATCATTTCTCACTGTTTAGTTGCAACCAATTTAATGATGAGAAAAACGTTTACCCCGACTTTGAGGGGTGAATGACAACTCAGCTTTATTTAGCAGCTGCCTTGACTGCTCTTCAGGACTGCAGTCACTGCCTACTTGGCTGCAAGATGTGTTAAGTGGCTTCATGGTGAGTTTTCCATATGCTCTGCACCACTTATTAAATTACTGGCATTTATCCGTCATCCTCATACAATCTGCAGCTCAGGTGTGTCAGTGAAAGAGAATGTTCTTGTACTTTGTGTTGGGAATCTGATCTCTACTCTTCAGCCTCCTCACTGCTTCCCTCATGTGCTTGGGCTGAAGTGGTGGTGTGTCTCCCCACTTCTCACAAACATCCAGAGCTGTAAAGGCAAAGACACCTCATGAAACTATAATTCATACAACCTCGTAGTCTGGGTGACTTCGGTTTTCTTAAATCCTCCAACTAACCTTCCTCGACAATTTCCCCAGCAAAGACCTTTGAAATACCAGACATGGCAATAACAACATTCTGGGACACCGATGATCCTGTTATTGACTGGATGAGCTAGAATATTAAAATAAGAGACATCAAATCAATACAACATTTTCAGGGTTTTTTAATACTTCCTCTATTATTAAAAAAAAACAAAACAAAACAAAACAAAAACCTTACCCTTTTAATGGCAGCCTTCGGGAATGCAGAACGTCTGTACATTTCATAGCGATTCAGCTGCTCTTCAGAAAATGATGACACCAAAACTCTGAAAATGTTATGGAGTTATGGCGAATTTTCGCAAATTACATGATTTCAAGAATAAGAATGATGATCTGTGAGATTAAAAAGGTCATCTTACTGCATCTTCTGTATTTCATCTTCATCAACCTTGTGCCGCTTCTCCTTTTTCTTCTCAGGTTCCACTTTTAACCTTTTCAAAGGAGGCTGGCCAGAGGTTCCCTCTTCCTCATCTTCTCCCCCTGGTGTTTCCTATCCAGTGGAAGACAAAATTATTCAGAAATACTACAAAGACAGAGACACCACTGTGAAACCACATAACAAAAACACAAATGACAACCTAAAAATTCAAATCTGATCATTCAGGTTTTAGGATTTTTGTTGGTTTAAACTTTTTAGTATACATATGGTCAGTTAAATGATTTTTAATGTAACATTAATTTTACTGTAATACAATATTTATTTAAAATGGAACTGAAACAGTACATTTAAGTTTGTCAACCAACTGTCTAGGGTATTCTTGTTTTGGCTGCTCTCTTTAGGGGTTTCTTCAGTGGATCATCTGCCTGCATCTCATCCTGTTTTATTATACACCAAACTCATATATGTCCTCCTTCACTACATTCATAAACCTCTCTGTGGTCTTCTTCTTTACCTTCTATCTGTCAGCTTCATCTTTAACATCCTTTGTCCAGTAAATCCACCATCCCTCCTCTGTAGGTATTAGAACCATCTCAGCCTTGATTCTCCAACTTTGTCTCCAAAATACTCAACCTGAGGTGACCCTCTGATATACTTATGTCTAGCCCTGTCCATACTGGTCACTCCCAAAGAAAATCTTAGCATCCTTAAACTCCACCCCCTGTCTTTTTGTTACCCCCACTGTCTCCAAACAACACATCATTGCAGGTCTCATTACCATCGTGTAACCCTTCCACCCTTGCTGCTATCATTCTGGCATAAATGACCCCTGACAAGCGTCTTCACTCGCTCCACCATGGCTGCATTCCCTTGTTCACTTCCGTTTTGCACGGTTCATTGCTTTGGATGGCTGAGCCCATATATTTATAGACACACTCAGTACCTCAGCTCCTTACATCTTCACTTTTAAGCCTATCCCCCTTTCATTCAAGTACATATATTCTGTTTGCTTCTACTGACTTTGATTCCTCTTCTCTCCAACCACCTCTCTTCTATCTGCTCCCTACTTCTCTGCCACTCCTGCTTTATCATGCTGTAACAGCAATCCTCCCTTGGCACCCAATCATTTCCTCTCTCTAGATCCACGGGTCATTTGTTACCATATTTCCATCTCTATCCTTAATCGCCCTAACCTTCTTCAAATACTTTCCATCTTGATTTCTCCATCTACCAGTCGATTCAAGTTCTTTTTCTCCTTCCTCACATACATCTCACTACAAGCCTATGCAGTGCGTCTAGCCTTCCAGTACTCCTGTTTACTTTCTTCATCGCCCTACTTATCCCACTTTTTCTTTTCTAACCTCTTTCTTGAATAACTTATGCAAATGACGCTCCGAAACTCACATGTTTATTTTCTTTAGGCTGATCTTGCGACGATGTCTCTAGGTTTTCATTTGCAGGTTTTTCTGTGGCTGAAGGATTTTCACTCTCCTCTGACTTCAGGTGCTCCTCGTCGGTAGATGTCCTCTTAAGTGCATCATCACTCTTGATACGTGCAGGGTCTGCCATTTTACTAATTTCACTTTAGATTCTGCAAATATCAAAGAAGTTGATGAGATACTTACCCCAACTCTAAAAAGCTAGCTACAATTGGCTAAATTACTTAATTGTTTTAGCTAGCTAGCCCAGAAATTAGGTACATTAGTATTAATAGCAGTGTGTGGATAAAAACTTTACAAAAAACAAACAAACCAGTATGCACATACCCTGTACGCAGCTAGGCGTCAACAAAGCAGCGGCAACAGTCTGGCCGTCAATTTAAGCTAACGATAATTAGAAGCTAGCGGGGGCTAACACATGCCTGATTGATATAATATACCCCAGTACACAAAAGTATATTCTAATGAACGCAGTAGCTACGGATTATATAAATACGTAACCACCTACAGTAAGAGGTACGATGCATCAAATGGCTAATTTCCCTGGTAATGTTGCTAACACAGCATACGCATTTCCGTTTCCGTTTTGTACGAACTTTATTAACACCGCCTTCTGTGAAGCAACCAGCGAAGGACTATGGAAGTAACGTTCAGATGTTAGGAATAAACAGGTCATGTTCGTTCATTTGTTTGTTCGTTTCATTTTGCTTTGTCTTTTTGCCCCTTAATTACAGCGCAATATTCAGTGAATATTCAGGCTGCAAGTGGCTTCTGTCTGAAATAAATAAAGCATTATATATTCCTTGATTTTCACTTGTTATTTCCCAGATTATCTACTTTCACTGGACAAAATGCTGTAAAACATTTATTAATTTGACCGGAATTAATACGATTAGAGTTGCCTAGCTGCTAATGTCAGGTAGTTCCATTGATAGTAAGAGTAATTCACAGTTATAGTTATTCATAAATATTTATTCTTAATTTGTGTTCTTCTTCTTGTTGTTATTATTATTGATATTATTACTAGTAGTATTATTTATACTTACAGCTACCAATCAGTAATTTATAAAGCGTTTAGTAAGTAATTAAGGGACTATATATGGACGTTTACTGTGGATACAAGAGGTCAGAGGCGAACAGATCTTAAAAGCACTGAATGGGTAAATCCTGCCTGTCTCTATTCAATGCGCCATCTTGCTTATATCCATCCACCTTCTGATTGAAGCAGTAAGGGCGGCGGTGATAGGGGGTATAAATGTGTGTGTGTGCGAATGCGTGTGCGTCTGAAGGGTTTCGGACTGGAGATGCATAAAGAAAGGGCAGTTTCGAGGAAGTGACGGACGACGCTCAGTGGTCTGGTCAGAGGAAGTTTGTTCGATGCGCCGTGCTGTTGAAAGAAACTTTTCACTCCAGTGAGCGCCAGAAGCACCCGTGGATCGGGTCGGACGGATCCGGCGGCGGAGGGAGCTTTTGTTTCCCCTTCACACTTAGCAGCACTGAGAAATAACTTGAGGTCGGGAGAAAGAGGGGCTCGCACAGGAATTTCACTCCCATAACCGACCCCCCTCCCCTTTTTCCTTCTTTTCCCCGCGCCTCCTTTGATTTCTTTCTGGGATCCGCGATGGGAAAGGAGCAGGAGCTTCTTGAAGCGGCGCGCACGGGAAACCTGGCTGCCGTGGAGAAGCTTTTATCCGGGAAGCGACAGTCCGCTGGCGGATCGTCTGGGACCGGTGGAAGCGGCAACAGCGGTGGCCACGGCGCCTCCTCTCATCCGCTCTCCAGTCTGCTCAGGTAATCTTGGGGAAAGCCGAGGCGAGGTGGCTCTGACTACATGGGAGACAGACAGCAGCTTTGCCCCTGGCGAATATTACCCAATCCTTTATTGTTACTGCAAGAAACGATGTTTCATGTTTGCATGCTTCCCTGCATTGTCAAACAATCGCAAGCCAAACCAGTGCAGCGCCCAAGCAGTGGCATGCTTCTTTGTTAGCCTACACCTCCTGTGTTACTGCCATTTCTACTGTAATGTGCACAAACAGCCTGAGAGGAAATTATGCAATTTAACTAAAGAAATCTGTAACGAATCGGCCCACGATTACGTTTAAAGAAACGAATTGCAGATGTGTCAGTAATTATAATGCTTACATAGAGTCTGGACGTGAACACAGTCACAGGTCTGGAGATGGAAAGTCTTCTCACAATTGGATTCTCATTGTTTAGCAAAATTATCTTATTATAAGGAAATCTTTGTCGTATGAAACCTTATTGACTATCCTCAGACTTGTGTGAACCAGGAATATGACTTTCTCTTTTTAGTAGTCACTGGAGGAAGTCCTCAGTGAGGTAAACATTTGATGTGGTTTGTCACATCTATTAAAGACCTACTCTGTATGGTTAGAAAGAGTTAGCTCTCCTTCCTCCTGCTCTCTCTGTCAGCCTTCAGTATTTATGAGGTCACTATTAAAAACTGAAAAAACAGCCCAGAGTTATATAAAGTAGCTATCATACTTGTCCACATTGTATTGTCTGCAATTGATAGTGACTGTGGACATAATCAGATTCAATTACCCAAAATCACACACTGGGTAAAGCTAAAAGATGTACTAAAGGGACAAGCCCTTAGTAGAAGTATACGATCCCTGTAAGGTTGTGCAGATGTTGAGAACATTAAAAAAAAAAAAATCAGATAAGGTATTTTTCATTTTGTGTTGTATGTTATCTGCATTATTGGCTCGCCACAGTTTGATTCTTGTTTTTCTCTCTGGTGACATATCATGTTTGTTTGTTTTAATCATGAAGTTTCTGTGGTTTACACAGTGTGTTACACACAATATGAAAACCTGCAAAGAAAGAATTTAAAAGTCCTTTTGTTGAAAAAGAGTCGACTCTTTAAAAATATAAGGCTTATAGCTTTTCTAAATGCTGCCTCTCATACAACCTGCAGGTTGCCTGTCTGTGGTTAAGTGTATGTCAATCATATAAAATTGCTCCCTTGGGTTTCCCGGTAACAGCCGCCTTCCTCTGAGGGAGAAGTGTTAAGGCAAAGCTCGGGGTGATGCGCCACTGTGTTACTTCGTGGAGACTGCAAGATTTGCTTGAGATTATTACATTAAATTCTCCTAATTGGAAATCCAATTCAGAAATGTCATGCGGTGAAGGCTGACTCGTCTCATCCTCACTGCTCCGTGGGCGGACTGGCGAGCCCATTGTGTCATCTCATTTGTCTTGAGCAATCGGTGTTTGGCAATGGGATCTCTGGGAAATTATTGGCTAGGCTCGGGAGGAAATGAATAAATGAATAGGTGGTGTGTGGATCTAAAAAGCTTCTGGCTGGCGACACTTGAGAATACTGGACAGGCTCTTATAAGAATTTGCATGAGTGTTGACTATGACTGGCTGCTTTGGAGGGCTGTTTCTGTTCTGCATGACATTTGATTTAGTTTCCACAATGAAAATGTCAATACATCTAAGGGTATTACAGTGGATTGGTACAGTGGCACAGGCTGTGGGTTTGTATGTGCATGTTTTTTCCAACCCCCTTTTATCAAAATCTCTTTGCAACCCATTCATCATCCATTGTTAGAAAGTGCAGGCCTTTAATCCCGTCAGAGGAGATTTGATCTCTGGCTAAGACAGCTTTCTTTGGCGAATTTTCGCCTGTTCTGGTTGTGTCAGCTTGTACCTCCGCTTGATTCCATGTTCACTTCTACTTGTGTAATAACACTTTTCCTCACTTCAAGTTGCTTTTCAGGCTCAGTTATATGAGATGACATATAATGACAGTTATTGCTGTTGTCAGTTGCTGTTTGTATTTGACCTTGTACATTCAATATAGTGGAAAAACCTACTCGTTTATCACAGAAAGAAACCACAGGCGATGCAGATGAGTGAGCTAATCAACTTTTGTCCCATTCCTTGGTGTTTGTGTGCGCGTGTGTGTGGGTGTGTGTGTACTCTGGAATGGAACGCATGTTACGACTTGCAGTGTTTTTGTGCACAGGCTGTTGTACAGCTCTGCTCAGCTGAATGTCTGCTTTCCCAGGAGGCGGCATCCCAGCCGTTGCCATGGTACAGACACTGACCCCCGGCGTGTTTAACACCCCTGCCGCCCCAAACATTTGTTCCATGGTGCTCCATTAACACCGAAACGAGCTGGGCAGGGCTTCCTCAAGTAGTAAGATCACAGTGTAACCTTTTTAGTACTACAGCACAGCGGCGGCTACTCTATTTAAGTTACATTAATCTAATTTTAGGGCATATATTGTTTTTCCTCCATACTGTAGTTTTTACTAGAAGCCCTATGACCCTTTTTGAACCCAGAGGTATACAGGAAGAGACCAACACTAGTATTTCCTGGCCCAGGTCATCCAAACACAAGCAGCTGCAGCGGTTACACCGGAGGTAAGACAAGTCCCTGGCAGGGAAAGTGCTTGCCCACTGAGGGGAAATTAACGGAGGAATGCATGGAGTCCTGGACAGACGTTCTGAGAGCTTAGCCAGATGAGGGTTGGTCTCCCAGTTCCACAGCCGTGTCCTTTGTCCCACTGACAAAGCGTCAAATGGTGCTTTTCATATTCATTTCAGCCCAAAAAAGACCATTCTGGGGCTTTTCTATACTTTTTTTTTTTTTTTTTTAGTTTTACAAAGAAAATTGAGCTGTCATTTGGACTGAACTGGACCACCTATTAAGAGTTCTTATTTAGCCGTATGCGTCTGAAAGATGTTGACTGAAAGAAGTGGGGCTTTTTCAGTGTTTGGAGATAAACATCGGCTTAAGATATTCACGAAGGTCTCTTGAAATATAGTTTTCCTAAGGGATGTTTTTCTGCTTTCTGAATGCTCGCTAGCATCATCAGCTTTGATACTTGGTTAGCATTTTAAGAGGCTTGGGCAAAACTCCAGATCTTTCCATCCCATTACATCCACAATTTCTGGCTCATCCCAAGCAGACCCATGCTGTCAGGCTGCTGTCAGCCGAGAGAATATATGCTGCAGGAGAACTTGCACCTACTGTCCTTTTGAAAACACTATTTCCTCTAGCTTCTCTTTGTATTGCGACCAGTGTGCAAGTATGTGTGAAGATGGGTTGCAGGGATGACGTGTGTACAAAATGACGGGCTCACAGCGGGGTTTGGACACCCACTGTCCTTAGCTGTGCTTCAGAAAAGCTGGACTTTCTTCACAAAATGTCATTTTGAGACATTTTGCATGAAAGTCTGTGTTAAGAAGGTAGCGTCTACTTTTTCACAACCACAAAGAGCCTCAAATCATTTCCCGGTAGAAATCTGGGCCAGCAGCAGGCATGGCAGTTACATTTCATCCTGTGTTGACCTCTGAACTGAAAGAATTTGTAGCTGCTTCAACCCAGGAGGGAGCAGTGGTAGCTGGGAAATCTAACACCACCATGTTAGCATTCCAAGAGCATCTGAGTTTGGGATGCTCTGCTCTATGCATTATGTTTCCGGCTCGTGTTTGTGTAGCCTGAGAAAGCAGGCTGAAAGGCACTCAGTAGTGATGAATTCCACATATGTGTGAGAGGCGGGAGCAGAAGCCGACAAATACAGCATCCTTCCCATGCAGTATGTAGCCCTCCATATTTTAAACTAGTGCTGGTTGGCTAAAAATAGATTTCATCCAAGTGGGTCAAGGGGTTCTTCATTAGCTTTGTGGGGAAAAGGCTGCTTTGAACCAGTCTGAAATTAAAATATAATTAAGGGGGCCAAACATCTAGATGTTCAGAGACTTCCAAAAGATTTATTTTACTTTGAATATCAAATCAATAGCCCCAATTTGGGGCTATGGTTCAGCTGACATTACAGAGATTTATGTACAGCCCAGTGGAGTAATGGAAAAACATGTGGTCCTGAAACTCGTCTGGTTTCTGAGATAAAATGCTGTCATTTACACTTTCTATCTGCTCTTCCTGCATTAAAGAAACAGAAGTTGATATGACAGCTACACACAGACACCTACACTGACTCTTATGGTCATGTGTTTATGTGAACCGTATTTAACACCAGCTACTAAAAAACGTTTAGTAGCAAATGGACAAATATAAACTAACGTTGATGAGCTTGCTATTTCTGTGTGTGTGTGCGTTTGTGTGTGCCCATTTTGACCAAATTTATAAGAAGAAACTTTCTTGTTGTGTGCAGGCCCACATGTGTTCACTGGCTACTTGCAGCCCCCCGCCCAGACCTTTTCATTTGCCTTGCCTTCTAGGCGGCGTCCTCTTTTATCTCACACTCTGCTGCTCTCAGCAGACTCAGCGGCCCACCTGCTGGGCCCACACCAACCTCTACTCCACCTCAAACTTAAAACATGTTGTACTTGTAGCCAGATTAATGACAGTGCCCCCAGTGTGTTGACACAGGAAACAAATTTGCCTCAGTCTTTCTTTCTTTTCTTTTTTTAAATTCCCCTTTGCTTTGGTCTTCCTGCAAAATGTAAGAAAGAAACTGAACAAAGTTCTCTGGAATGATTTAAACTGTGACTAGGCAGATTCACACCAGACTGTACCTGTGAAACGCAGAAATGCATCTACTTTCATATTCACACCCACAGATCACCACAAAGAAGGGGAGATTAGTGTCAGAGTCATTTTAAAAGTCATTGTGTCAAATTTAAAGAATGACCGTGCTGGCGAATTTCTTCTCAGCAAAACTGAGAATCTTAAATAACTCTAACTGGATTCTACAGAAAATCAATTTCAAGAATTGGCTTGTGTGCATAACAGAAAATAACTGCCTATCAATCCAACAAGATTTGAGCTGAAACTGAACATGAGCTTG